AAAAGAGAGAGAGAGAGAGAGAGAGAGAGAGAGAGAGAGAGAGAGAGAGAGAGAGAGAGAGAGAGAGACTTGGTGCTGCCCCAGTGAACGCTCCGAGCATCTCATCTCTCTCTCTCTCGTGCATCTGCTTTTTTTTTTCATGTTCAATTTTGCTTGTTTTTTTCTACTTTTTTGTTTGTTTTTCTAGATTTCCCTGAGACCGGCCGCTGGCAGGTTGAGGTCTGCGACCTCCCCATGTTAATCGGCGTGGTATTGTTTCTGAAGCAGAGAAATATACCAGTGGTTTAATTCTCCCCCTCGCGCTGCCCAGGCTGATTACCAAAGGTGGGGTGACGTATAGGAAATTGTTTAAGTCGTATAATCTTACTGGTCTAGCATGTGCAACAAGTTTTCTAACACTGCCTTCCTCTCTCTTGCTTTATTGGTAGAGAACATCTCAACTCTTTTCCCTCGGTGCAGTGAGGTTGTCATTGAAGGAGTCTACTATTGAGCAGTATTTGTTCTCTGGCTGGCACCCACTAAGTCCAAACTTCTTTTACAGAGCCTCTCTGAAATGACTCATGGAAGGATAACCCAAGGGCTATCATCATTTTTTGGTGAAAGAGTGGCAGGGGCTGATGCAAAGGACCTCTGTAGCACCTAGTGGTCCCCTTTGAAAGAGTTATTCGAGATCAGATTAAGGTCATTAGAGAGACCATCTTCCCCTTTGGATTTATAGGCATCCATGGTTCCTCTTTTTCAGATGAAGAACCCTGTAGGCCTTTGTTTCCAGATGGAGGACCTTATTGCCTCACTTTTTCAGATGAAGGATCCCATAGGCTCCCCTTTTCTGGGACGAAGCTATTGCAAAACCATTGTCATTGATGCATCTGATGTCAAGGTGCTCTCTTTCTTTTTTTCTCTTTTTTTCCTTTTTATTGGATGTTAGTTTTAGGCAACATGGGTCAGGTGTGGGGGTTGGGGGAGAGTGGACCGCACATATTTGTTCAGGTTTTGATATCATATTGCCAGCAGAGCCAGCATGTGCTTTTGGTCTGTGTTTCGCAGCTGTACACCAGCCGTTGCATGTGATGCTGTATGTCTGTCTGGTGCTTAATTTGCTATGTGGTTGATGCGGTTTCTTTATACTTGCCCTCGTGTGTTTGCCGTGTTGCAGGAATTCGCATCAAGCAATGCGGATGACGAGCAAAACAACACCTTGGATATGGAGTATAGTCATAACATAGCATCTCTTGCTTATCCGTGATTTAGTTTCTTTCCCGGGCCAGCTGGCGCTGTGCCCATAGATTGTCAAATTGAACAGAAGTATGCTAGAATACGACCTCTTTGATACAAGCATTAATTATGACATGCCATAGTGACAAATTGGGTAAAGCGTCACTGAAGACTACTACAGCGTCAGACAGATACACTTGTAAAAAAATCATCTAGTTAGCGATAACAAGTGCTCTCCGGCACGCGAGACGTCCCTCATCACACGAGCCCCTTTCAAGTTTCAGCAGAAGTTGGTGCACTTTCTCATTTGTTCCTTTTTTTTTTTTTGTGTGTGTAGAAGAGGTCCTGTTCAGCCCTCATGTTCCAATTCTCATCTCCATTTCTTCATTCACATTTCGCAGCAGTAGAAGGGGTTGTCGAGCCTTGGCCCCGGGGCCCTGACGGGGGTCCCGGGAGCCGGGGGTCGGCACCCCTGGCACCGGCACAGAAAAAAAGAAAAAAAAAGAAAAAAGAAAAAAAAGAAAAAGAAAAGAGAAGAAAAGAAAAAAACAGGGGGGTGCGCAGCCGCAGCCTGCACCCCCTGGGCCGAATTGCAATATTGCATTTTTGGCCCGGCCTCAGGCACCCCCCGGGGCTACAACGGACCCTCGTGAGCCCGGGGTAGTGCGGGCGCGGGGCCGGGGGCGGGGCGCGGGG